TCTTTATGCTCCTTGAGTTCCCATTGAGAGTTAAAAATAATCTAGTGCAGCTGTCAGGGCATCTATGAAAAATGGCATTTAGTGGAATCAGAAGTTAGTAGCAAATTGTCTAAGTAGTCGACATCGATTGCTGAAAGACCATAATCTTACTTATGTAAAAAAAACTTTTGGATGGTCCCTTATTCACAAGGGGTCATCAAAGCAGGTTGGTTTGCTAAATGTGATTTGACAGATTTTTACAGCTGATGCTCTTCTTGATGCTACACCCCCCCCCTCCCCCCCAAAGGGATTTGTGCTTTCCCCTTAGCTGTGAATCAGGGATCATTCGCTTGTGAGGCAAAGCACTACACTATGGAGCCAACATATTCTAATTTAGTGCTTAGAAAAACTTGCATAGGTAGAGAATGAAATGTTTTGGTGGTGCTTCTCTCAAGCAAAGACCTCACTTGAAATGACATCACTTAACAAGCAGACTAGCGCAACCTGACATCTCACACACTTTGCAACAGGAAGATGGCAATTTAAAGCCAAGATAAAGTCCAATCTAGCTAGGCTGGACATTTATTTTTTTAATCAGGTGATGTCTAGAAAAGATTACTTGGCTAGCAGTGCATGTGTAAAACCAGCAATGCATTGCGTCTGGAAAGTTTTACAGTCAAAATCTGATCTTTTTTTAAATGTTTCACAGGCAACTAAATGTTTAAATAAGAGTAAATAGACATTATTCACTCTTACTCAACTGCTTTTAGTGTAAACAAGACAAAAGACCATCCAGTAGTGGTCAGTTTCTACTACTACTGCCACTCCAGTACTTTCATATACTTCACCCAAAGCTATTCCTGTACTTTCTTGGTAATACACTTTGTTGGTATATAAACCTTTAATTCAGCCTCTCAGCACTCTGGAAAAAGGTTTTTACTCAGGATCTCTTAATTTTTCTGTATTCATCTTTCCTTCAGTCCTGATGGTGTACCATTGCTGTCACAGAATTCACCACAACATGATGTGGCCACCACCGTGTTCAACTGTGTAGAAAGTAATGTGGTGTTTGTGTCCAAATAGTTCAATCAATGTTTTGCTTTTTTCTGTCTGAGAGACCTTAAGGTGTCTTTTGGCAAACTCTCAGTGTACTGATGGTTGTCCTTGATAGTTACCATAGGGCTGTATTTTCAACCATGTTTCTCAAATGGGTCACAAAGTATACTGACAGCTGCCCAAGTATTTTTTATAGACAAATTTAACCCCCCCCCCCGAATGGCACCATGAACAATTCCCAATGTGAAAGTTCAGTCACTACTAATGAGACCCAACAAACTTCCGTTTCCCTCCCATATCTGACCAAGTCTTTTAATGCTGCAGAAACACCTTAGTATCCAAAAATTAAAACAAATTATTGTAGGAAGATCAAGGATCGGTGATAGAAGTATGATGCACCGGGATTCAACTATCACAACAAACAATGTGTCATCAACTCGACGTTTCAGTTGTTTATATGTTTGCTCTTGTTATTGTGCAGCATATGTGCAGACTATGTGTAAAACATAACCGAATGCGGAATTTTGAACATGGATTTGGCATGGATTTTTAGCATACATTCTATATATGCTGCATGTTTTGCAATCTGTGCAAATATGCATAACAATGTTTCTGTTCTTCAGATCACTGTCCTAATTTATTTGAGCAAAGGAGCGAACACAAACTGGCTTTTCTTCTTCTTATATAGTTTGGCTATCTCCACTTCCAGCCAGACAGCAGACTGACCAGATTCCTTTCTGCCTGTATCCAAGTGTCACTGCTTGGGTCTCAACAGAAAAGGAACAAATGCTTCATTGTGGGTCTTGATGCACTCTGAACAGGGGAATGAAGTCCTCGCAGGGATGATAGATGCAAATCTCGAAGTTCTCTCATTGTTATGCCCATGCACATGAAGCACCATGCTTGAATATGATTATTTCCTTTAAGCCACTCATAGTCATAACGTAATAAAATAATGCATCTTTATTTTCCTGAATAATGTCCCAGATTTAAAAAGAAAATAGCGCATTAAACACTGTTGGTTAACTCTGTGCTCGTGTTTACTTTGATCACAGCGGGTAAGTATACCAAACAAGTTTCACAGCAATTTATTTCCCACGACATGAACGTGAAAAGCAATGCTAAAGATGATGCTAAAGATGTACATAAAAAAAAGACTGATGTGGCTAACATACAGGAGAATAAGCTTCAATGTAGCCTTTAGTTAGCAACTAGCCTGCTGTTAATACTCCACTAAGGGTACTGCTAAGCAAAGGGCTAGCTAGCAACAGCAGCAGCCAGTTGTCAACTACAAGTTAACGTTCAACATGTAAGCTAACGAGCTGGCAGCGATAAAAGTAATGACAAAAGGAATCTGATCGATGCTAAACTTGCAAGGTAGACAGGCGATTAACTCGCCCCAGCACAGCAGCCAAACTCCCTCTTTTAGCATGCTACGGCAGCCGATTTTGGTACCACAGTTGGAGAGCTAACCTCAACGGCAAAGTTAATCGTGGAACTTGGCATAAGCCAACGTTAACTACATTCGATAGCAACCTCCCGTGCCCTCATTCACCTCACTATACGTTAAGCCGACGTTACTCACAACTTTTGTTTCTTCTCCTCTTAGTTGAGCTAGGTGGCTAGCTTGCAGACGATCTTTTCATTCGCCGAACAAGCTTCAACATCCTGGCCCTTCTCCATTGGAAGGATTTGCGTAGTGGTGTGATTTTTTTTTTCTCAGTCGGTTTCTGTGGTGGAAGAGCCCCACAGCCAGAACAGACGGCAGCTTGTTTGCCCCGCCTTCTTTGTTCTGATTGGCTCTGATGGTGTACGCCTACACAGAACTCTACGTTCTACCGGACAAGGAAAGTGCCAGTCTTGATAGAACGACCTGTTGATTGGATGACGTCTTCTGCGGGAGGTTCACACGAATCTACCTTTTTTCCCCCTTTCTTTTTCAATCTTACGAGAGTACACCGGCCTTGCGCGGATAGGCGGGTAGTCGGAAGAGACGCAGTATGTCAGGTATTTGAGCATTGCTGACGGCAGTATCGAGTAATCACAAAAATATCAGTTAGAAAGCTTCCAAACGGATACAGAGATTAAGTATTATTTCATTCTGCGGACTAAACAAACATTATATATTATTATGTTAAAATGTGGAATCAGCTGTATTGTCTCTTTTTTTAAACGATCATTTGGATATATTTGTTGAGGCGTGTGGGCATGCCTGCAGTGTGTGTCGTGCCTCTTATGGAGCACTTTGGTCAAATTTGACTGGATTGTCAGTTACCGATAAATCTGTTCTGGTATCATTTATTACTCATAAAAATATATAAATATAACGCGGAGGGGACTACTCTATCTCTGTAAATAAACCAATTAAACCAATATAAAGTACTTAATATAAGACTAACTGTGGTACTGCAAAAATTGGGAATGATTTTGTTTGCATCACTATATGAAGAAAGTGGAGAAACCAAAGGCCAGCAGTTATGAGCTCCTTTCATAAACACTAACTGATATAAAATCATAAAACTGATTAAACTTCATATTTCAAAAATGACCAGCTGTCTTCATCAAAAGAGTCATGAAGTCCTTGTATTATTTGACACTTATAAAAATATAATTTTGGCAAAATTAAATATAAAACACGTTTCGTCATAAAAGGAGTATTTACTTCCTAAAAAAAAAAAAAATTTCATCCCAAATATGATGATTTATTGCCTTAATTGTAGGTTAGCTGAGCAGTGCTGCTAACTTTCCAAAACAGATTCAGGTTCAGACTCTGGCTAGGACCCTCCAAGACTTTTTCAAATACACTCTGGTGTTGTCTTGGCAGTATGATTTGTTGAAATATGAACATTCACAACTGCCTTTAAGCACTCTGAAAAGGGTTTTCACTCAGGATTGCTTAATTTTTGCTTCCATCATTCCTCCAGTTTCTCCCATTCCTGTAAAGCATTGCTGATGCTACCATCACATGTTTGACTGTACTAACTGTAAGGGGGTGATGCTGACTGCCTCATATTTCTTCATTTGTTTGTCTGCACACCACGTGATATTGCTTCTCAAGCTCAAGGTCTGAGAGTCCTTAAGGTACCTTTTGGCAAACTCCCAGCTCACTGTCACATGCTCATTACTGAGGAATGTCTTCCATCTGACCATTTTACCATCAAGACCTGATTAGTGGAGGCCTGCACTGATGTGAGCAGTCTGGGTAACTTTTTAAATCAGACGTTATATTTGTAAATGCCTCTACACATATCTGAAGTAAAATCACACTTAGCTTAGCATTACTACAAGTAGTGACCAATTCTCATTCACAATAGGGTAAGAAAGCCACATCGTGTTTTTTTCAGTTATACAACTTTGTTAGTGCTTTCACTTATAGACACACGAAAGCACAGGTTTTAAAATGTTATGGCTGTCTGTTCAGCTCCAAAGTGCACCTTCTGTGCTATAAACTGTCAAAAATTAAGACCAGATTTCTTAATGCTCAAAATGTGGAAAAGAAAACAAAGAGAAGCCATTATTATTATTAGACTGGTAAGTACCAAATATTAAAAACTCAAAAGATATGTTACCCGTTCCACCTTTCATTAAATTCTGTAATTTGTCATGTACAGATTAACCCCTTACACCTTAGTTGTTTTTGAAGGTAGCCAAGCATTGCATATTCACTGAGCAACCTAAGGTAGGACTACTGCTGCTGTTATGGATGTGGTCGTTACTGTACTCATGCCTGACGATTCAAGTTTGGCAAAACCTTTTTTTTTTTTCTCCATTGTCATAGGGCTGTTATTTATTTATTTTCAGATCTCATTCTTAACATTCTATAACTGTTTAGTTGTTGATAATTATGTCCAAAGACCTGGCTTTACCCATATATTCACCTCCCTGTAAAAACTAGAAATTCTATAAGCTCTTGCTCTTTGATAGAAAGGATAGCAGCGCCCCCTAGTGGTTATTTGATAAAATGAGACGTGTTTACAAGTTTTATTTAAGACATTGATAAGAAGGTGATGAATTCATGCAGAAAATCTCTCCAACACTGGTGAGGATGAAAAAGGAAAGGAAATACTTAAATAGGTGTGCATCAATGTACAGTGACACACATTATGTAACATATCAAAGTTGTCCTTTTAAAAAAAATATATATTGTTTTTCATATTTTCTGATCGTTTATATTTGCACTAATCTGAATACGTTATTTTTACAGTTATGCACACTGAATGTTACCGTACATCCATCCTCACAGTCTTTAAGCCTGTCCAGCTGGTGCTGCTGGAGCATTTTTCTTACATTCTTCACACACATGGTGGCAGGGTCTGTGAGGATAATGTTTGGGTAAGTGTCATGCTGAGGCGTAAGGGTATTGATCATCCAAAGAGAGGAGAAAAAATAACAATGGCTGATAAAAATAAGTATCTGTAACATTTTTAAATAATTGTTTTTATGTCATTTATTAAAGGTGGACCAGCACAATGACACAATTTCCTCTGGGATTAATAAAGTAATTTGATTCCGAATGACTTTTGAATGCTTGCACTGTAACTCTGGTGGTCAATAAACAAGTCAGAAGAGCAATTACTCAGAGAATATTAAAAAAATAAAGTAAAATGAAATAAAAACAAATGGACAATCAAATATACAACGAAAAACCACAAAGTTAGTCTTTTTCCGATTATCAACACTCCTCTTCCTAGAATCTGCGAATATTACCACACAACATGATAATATTACACAAACAGAAATTCAGCACCTGCTCTCCCTGTGTCTGTGACCAGGGTGATCTCTCTTTGACCAGGGTCCAATCCCCGGTCCACCCTGAATGCCAAGCTCCTGGAATTTGCTCCGACAAGTGCCCACATAGGATGCTTTCCCCACTGCAAATCCAAGGATCCCTGCAACTGAAGAAGAACAATTATTTCATTAATCACTGCTGCCACTTACAAACTGAGATCCAAGATACTGAAAGACACAAACCTGCTAGTTTTGGAAAAGGACCAAATCGCTTTGATGATTTCCAAATACCTATGGAGGGAAAAAAGTGATAACTATAGAAACACCTGCTTTACTTTGATCAATATCATGCAATTTAAAGTACGGGGTTTGAATGTTAATGCTTTACCTTGGTAGATGAGACCACCGGTGACAGCCATGCTGCCCAGAGACAATGGAAGCGCTAAAAACAGAAATCAAGTCAAACAGAAGTTACTCTGAAGCTGATCAAAGCCACAAACTGCTGGACAGCATTTGAGGAAATATTATAATAGAATCAGAGTAAAGTTATTTTAAAAAGCCAGCATTCAAAACAAATACATAATGCATAAAAGGTAAGTTTTTCTGTCTGTGATTAAATGGCGATATTTCCCATATGAATGAATCCACTAGAAGACGTTAATTTTGCTTTGTTTGCCTATAGTTCAACCTAAATGAACTTTGGAGTAATGAGACATATACCAAAACTCAACCTCATGTCCATCTAATGGGATGGAAAGGACGGATACAGGAAGAAGTGATTGCTGCCACTGCATGTTTACATAACTGCTTGATGAGAGAAGATGAGCAGCAGCTGTGTGGTCAGTGGTGAGAGGCCGGGCCAAGATAGAGACTAAAGACAACGATGTGTTGCCACATGAAACACCAATAATCTTCAGTTTGGGAATTCTTTATCTAAAAAAGCCTGACCACAATATTTTCTTTAGTGCAAGCTGCTCACAGTAGCTTATACAATCTTAAGCTTTTGATGTGATAATTATTTTCTGACAGTCGTATAAAAGATGTGTGGGTGTGCATAAATGACTGATATATCTTTAAACCTCTTGTGTTTTTTTTCTTCTACTACTTTTTCCAGATCGGGTGTTTTTTTCCCCCCTTAGTTTTATCTAGAACCTCTTTTTTACCTCTGGACACTCCCAGCCAAGCTTCACCCAACCTTAACCCTAAGTAAAAGCTCTGATCAGGCAGGGCAGAGTGGTTATAGTATTTAAATGATTTCTTTAAAAGCAATGCATATATAAATAATCATGATCAAATAAACACATTGTAGTCACAACTGAGAGAATGACGAAAGTATAAAATCTTACTATGAGTTACTTACCCTCTTACTGATCTGCCCCCCTTTTTTAAGACCACACACTGAATTCCGCAGTGAAGAATGTAAACCCTCAACGGTAAGCTTGATTGATGACCCCTATCCCCTACTTCTACTACAAAAACCCTGCTTACACATCAAAGAACATTTCCAAGTCTTGTCTCTCAATGGGAGACATTTCAACAAATTGTTAATGAAAATTTGTGACACACATGAGAGCATTTACTGAATGTCTGAAAGAGACTACCTCTGTACCAGAAGCTCTCCTCTTGGCACTCTTTCCAAACTTTTCTCACATCTTCTCTGTGAACATGGGCATCACTCAATGGGCACTGTAAGAAAGAGAATAGAGGTTAGTTATCATATGTGACATATAGCATTGCATCTGGGCTCAAAATGTCTAGTACAAATTTGTTTGCCACTCACTTTCCACCCTCCTTTAATGGGAGCTGAACCTGAACCAGCAGCTGCCGGTTCCTCGGTCGGCACTGTTTGCCCACTTATTTCAGCACTCATGATCTTAGACCCTTCAGTAGTTTATTGCTGGAGCTCTATTATGCTGCTTTTGAAGCTTCCCCTTGCCTGTGTCAAATGCAACAAGCTGTAATAGAACTTCCTGGACTAGACTTTTAACTCCGCCTTCCTAACAGAGCTCTGCCCAGTCAGATTTGTTTGAGCATGAGGATGACAAGCCAAAACAGGTCAGGTTCACCTCTGTATAACAGTTTAGACGTCAGTGTTTGACACACCTTTTTTGCCTACAGCTTCGTGTTTGCTCTTTCATATCACTATTTAGTAGACCCACAAGTGTGGGTAAAGGTAACATATTATCTACATGTGTTTAGGCTAAAGATTCAATATACGCAGTCAAACTTCATAACAAGATCACCTATTATCGGTTATTTCATTGGACACACATCCCTATAAGCCAAAGGTCAAGGTTTTCTTTACTACCACTAATAAAAATGCAGATATCAGTGCTACAGTTTCTCTAATAATGGTATATATAATCTGTACTTAAATACCTTTCAACAGGTCACAGCTTAAGGAGCAAAGGCTCACTTATCCATGAAGCAAACACATTTGTTTTACTACTTATTTATTAACATCACTGCTGAGCATTAATTAAATAGTTTAAATTTCTATATCCTAACAACTGCAACTGCACAAATTCTACAAAAATGCTCTGATTTAGAAAAAAAAATAGTAGCTGTTCACCAGTACAGAACTAATACATAACATTATTCTAAATAACGTATGACTAAAAAGAATTAATTTAAAACTGATCCAGGCCAATGCATAAGGCATCGTATTTAATATGTGAGGTATTTCCTACAAATTTCTAAGTGTACCTGCCAAATAAATTTAATTAGGTTTAAAAAAAAAAAAGGGGGGGGGGGCTACATTCTCCTCTAAAATGTAGTTTAATAGCATAAAAATGAAAACGCACATCAAATGCAAAGTAACCCACCTTGAATCCACTATTAAATGCCCATATGCTGTAAACTAGTGCCGACTAGGACTGTCAATGCATAAAGAGTTTAACTGGAAGGCAAAGGAACTACATACACGACTGTGCAGTGGACAACTCAGTAGGCCGTTTTACCCATTTCCACCAGTACAAAGTAATACAAATTTAATCATGGCTGTATTGAGTAAGGTTCTGTGGTTTAAATAACCTGGTGAGCTTCTCTATACTCACACGGGGTATAGTTGCTTAGCTAATCATTTAAACAGAGTCATGTGAGTAACACCATAATGTTACTGATATATAAAAAAACAACTTTGGGCCCAACAATGTTGCTACGTTTGCATTCGTTCGTCTTGTACAAAAACTGAGATTTATAGTCACATGACAAACAGGGCATACTAAATTTGACAGGGTAACGTAAATGAAGGTAAGTGCTCAGAAAGACTTTATTTATCCCCAAGGGGCAATTAAGAGTGGTATTTAGGGCAGCATCACTGCAAACATTCCGGAAATTTAAGTGCTGTCGTCCTTACCTTGGTAAAATCAAAACATAACTCACATTACCAAATACACCGTGTCCTACTTCCAACAAACGGCGTTGACTTTAAGCGAACCCAAACCGCGATTACACTGGGAAGTCAATTTAGAAGTAGAACTACCAATCAGATTTCATCGTGGGTTGGTTTCAATTTTGCACGAGGAAATTCTAGTGATTGACGTGCGAATAGCACGGCCTGTTTTGAGAACTATGACCAATCACATTTTGTTGAGGGAGGAGCTGGTGTCTTTTCCCTCCCTGTCATGACATGACACCTCGACTAGCCAATTGACAGCGAGCAAAGGCGGAGGCGAATGAGGCTGACCTTCAATCCACAGCTGCGGGCGTGGCTTACATTGACAAGGCCCGCCTATTGGCCGGTCTGCGGACTTCCCACAGACAGTTGTATGTTTCATAAAAATGCACTCTGATGCGGCAAGTAAGTAGTAACGTTAGAGAGGTTTTTCTGGATCAATTTGGGACCCCATAGCGCGTGTGGCACAGACGTTAATAGTCTTGCTCTGTTTTGAACAACAGTTTTGTCTCATGGTCGTGTGGCGTTTGATGAGGACGCGTGAATTCTGTGCTATTTGCTGCTCTCTTTGTATTTGCTAGTGCTGTCTTGTGCGACAACAAAGGGAGGATAGCTGGTGTAATTTTAGCTGTTTGGACATGTGGAAGGTTATATTTGACACTGAAGGTTTTGCGAAGTTAATTTTTCGAGTCGCGTTAGCGGTGCTCGGCTGAATGCGGCTGACGTTAGTTAAATTCAGAAGGTTTTCGATGGTTAAACGGCGTGTTGAGCTGTTTATATTCATCTTCATGGGTCACGTACAGCAGGTATCAGCTCACATTTGGCATCCACGCAGGACCATTGCAAATCGGTCAATATTCTGGTCAACTGCGGACTCTTACAGGGAATGAAAATTGTGACGCAGTTGTGTAAAACAGCTTTCATTGCCTGCTGCAGCACTGCCGCCGGGTTTTGCGCCATCTACACCAGCTGCTGCAAACGCCTGTGCGTTGGTTTTGTGCCAGAACACATATAATGTTGTATATTTTTCAAACAACGTAAAATGCATTCAATCAGTTGGTGTAAATGTTGGGGGTAGAAGGGTCTGAGAGAAGTAGTTGTTTTGCAAATGCATGGGAATTGTAGTTTAGTATCCCAAACAGAGCTTAGCTTCCAATGGCCTGTTTAGAGGAAATGGACTACAACGCCCATACGTCCAAACTCTCCAGATACTTTGTAAACTCTGTGCAAGTTGCGCGTCTGCACTGCTATTTTAGGTATGCAGCTAGTGCTATCTGCTCGGCAGTGTACTGGTTTGAGTGTGGTTTTGGCCTCTGAAAAAAATGTTAAAATCATCGGTGTTTGGTGACAGCTTTTAATCGACAGTGCACAGAAGGCTTGAAGCGAGAAGGTAGCATGCATGATCGTTCTCACGTCTTTAGAGGAATGCAGTCCCTCCCTCATTCGTGTGAGATATTTTCAGCAACGTAGATCTTTGAAAACTGGAAATCAAGCGATAGTAGTGCGTGCTCTGTGAATGTTGTGTGATTCCTAATCAAAGATCACCTGGGATTTGAGTCCAGTGTTCTTACTGGGGCTGTGATGATGTCACCTTCTTGTACCCTTGTGCTCATGCCAAGCATGATCAGGAGCATAAAGCTGAGTGTCACGGTTTAGTTTAGTTCTTTTCTGACGTTATATTTATTTTTTGGAAATAGATTTTCAGCTGAATTCCCACTTGACTACACTGGCCAGCATCCATAAGATCCACCACACCTTGCACAGGCTGGTAAATGCATATTAGCAATATGTTTATGTGTGCTTTATTTTAGCATGCATGTGCCCTGTACATCTGTGTCCTACTCACACATATTTGTTTTGAATAGAACTTGGCAGAAGACGTTGGACAGGACAGCCACCCCTCAGGTAACTCTACAGCTGCTCCTTTTTTATGTTTTTAAAAAAAATCGGTTTAGTGTTTTTATCAGGCCAGATGTACATTAACATATCACTTTCTGAAGTGGACTCTCAGTGCTTGGCTAGTACTCAAATGTTTTGCTATAGAAAGTTGGCATAATGCATGTCGTCCTTAAAGATTTATTCTTTCATTTTCTCCTCTGTTTACTTCCCTAGCTTGTTGCTCTAAAGCCATGCCTCCTAGGAAAAAGAGGAGACCCTCTGCTGGAGATGACATGTCAGCCAAGAAAAGTCGCCAGGACAGGTGCGAGATCCCTTTAATTAAATATTCAGTGAACTTGAATATGTGCAGTACACAGTTTATTTTGCCATTCGTAAACATATAATAAACGGTGTACTGCACGTGTAGTATGGTTGAAATTTTCTTTTTCCTTCACAGCGTTTTCAGAAAACATGAAACATCCCAAATCCGAGAGGAGGAGATGTTTTCTAGTAAAAGATGCTTGGAGTGGTTCTATGAATATGCAGGTGAGCACTTACTGGACACACTCTTAGTTTCATTGCATTTGACCTCTTCTCAGTGCATACATGGGAAATTGCTGCTATTGACATTTGTTTATCATGAATAGGCTGTGATGATGTGGTGGGTCCAGAGGGCATGGAAAAATTCTGTGAGGACATCGGGGTGGAGCCGGAGAATGTAAGCGCATATTTAAAATCTTTCATATTTCGACATCTGTTTATCTCTCTGGCATTTTCTTTAATGACATCCTTTTGGCAGTGGTGACAATTTGCATTTCTGATACTTTATAAAAGTCTATCTTTTAATCTGCATTCTCAATCAGCAGTCCTAGACCTTTAAGGTCATGTGATATGTAATGGATTGAGTATCTTGTATTTAAGAATATCTGCAACTGTCATTTGTTGCTTGTGCTCAGGTGGTGATGCTGGTTCTTGCTTGGAAGCTGGATGCCCAGAGTATGGGATATTTCACCCTTCAGGAGTGGCTGAGAGGCATGGGCTCATTGCAGTATGTCATTTACTTACTTTAGTGCTTTTTTCTTCTTCTTCATTTTTTAAAATATAATACAGTTTTCAAGATTTCCTATTTAGATTGATGTGTTTTCTTAGTGTAACTTGCATTAAATTGGATCCTGTAACATACCTAAGCTAGTTTTCTGCTGCCGTCAGGTGTGATTCGACTGAGAGGCTGAGGAATTCACTTGACTACCTGAGATCTGTCCTAAATGACAGCACCAGCTTTAAGCTCATTTATAGATATGCCTTTGATTTTGCTCGGGTGAGTGGAGCAGTCAACACACAGCATTCAACAACCAGGTTAAATTCATTTGAACAAATACAAAAATCTCAGTAAGAAACAGTAAACATTGTAATCTGGCTGTCTGACTTGACTGTCTGTTTGGACTTGTTGCATTGATTTGAGAAAGTCTTGGGTGTTCTGATTGTACAGGAAAAGGATCAGAGGAGTTTGGACTTGAACACAGCCAAATGTATGTTGGGGCTTCTTCTGGGAAAGACGTGGCCTTTGTTTCCTGTGTTTAATCAGTTTCTAGAGGTAAGCAGTTTGGTTGGTTGGGGTGTTTGTTTTGTTTTTTAAGAAAATCAGTCACAGAAGTCTCGTGGAGTAGTTGTATATACCATCATTTGTTGCCCATTTTAACCTTGGAAAGAGCTGTTGTATCTAAAAAGCTATCACTCTAAAGGATTTATTTGTTATTCCTCAGCAATCAAAGTACAAAGTCATCAACAAAGACCAATGGTGCAATGTTTTAGAGTTCAGCAGGACAATCAACCTGGACCTCAGCAACTATGATGAAGATGGTGCCTGTAAGTGAGCACACATTTACGTGTAGCTGAGTGTTACCCAAATACTAATTTTGTAATATACTGAAATTTGTGCCTCATCTTTGTTTTTGTTTGTTTTTTTTCATTAGGGCCTGTTTTGTTGGACGAGTTTGTGGAATGGTACAAAGAAAGACAGATGTCATAACTGCAGCGCAAAAATGGGAAAGTAATACAACTGTGACAACAACGACTCTGAGAATCAATAACCAATAAGTAACCAATACAAAAAAAAGTAAAGGAGTGACTGTGGGTGCTTCCTGGGGAAAGGAGGGGTTTGGGCTGTGGGTGGGCTAGGGTGGGGTTGCTGGGTTTGCAGCCTGCATGCACGCTGCTCAGAGCGTGGAGGCAGGAGGGCTGCTGTGCTCCCTACCGAAGTTGCGTAGTGGGCAAGCTTGCAGCAATCCCCAGTGGCATTGCTCTCTCACTGTGACATGTCATATTGCTGTCTGTGTTAGGATAACGTGGTGTCATACATGGATGATGGAAGCAAAATGGTATCGTGTGGGAGAACCACTCCTCACCCCTTGTCTTCAGCACAGAGAAACTGAGAGAAGTGACCATTCATGCATTGTGTCTGAGTCTTAAATAGGGTCACTTTGACCTGGGCACATTAAAGTATTATACATCTGTGCAATGAACTTGAACTTGAGCTTTTCTGGACAGATAGCACTTAATATTTTTTTTTTTTTTTGGTCATATTTTGAGTTTCATAGGAGTACTTCAAGAAGCACACTGTGTCAAATGGTTGATTGCAAGTTTCTATTCTATTGATTTGTGCCAGTTTGTAGTTGTTTTTTGTTTGTTTTTCTTCTTTCCCCTCCAGTTTTGATTGCTTCAGCTTTTTTTGTTGTTGTTTTTTTTTGTTTTTGCTTCTAGCTATTCATTTGCTAGCCCCCTGCAAAGGCTTCAGACCTCATAACACCAAACAGTTTAGCATTGCTGCTTACTAACTCTTATTACAGTACAGCGGTGAGCCACTAGTGCTCTGATCAGCATTTATTGGTCTGATGACTGATTTATGTATCTACGTTCTGTAGATGAGAGTATTACTGTGCCTCAAAACATGGAAGTCACTTTGTGTGTCCCACACACATACCAATAAACCCAAATGTACATACACGTGTGATAAGAGTACATGCACACAGACACACTGAGTGGTCAGGGATTATTTCAGGATGAACTCAGACTGTTTTGGCTGTGTTATAAGTTGACATAGAGCTAGTTGGTGTCCATTTTGTCTTGATATGTGGCATCTGTTTGTCTTCCTTAGTCCACTGATAGTTTCAGGTCTCCTCTTACCAGTAGCATCTCTCCCAACACTGACGGTGTTAATGTAACTGCAGTGGAAGACCGGTGACCCTCTCAGGATGAGGTCCTTTAGGTTTGAGTAGTAAGGTACGTTTGGTGAAAGTGTTGCTTTGTACCACCCATAGGATGTACTCAAAACAGTGGACACTGACAGTTTGGAACTTTGTGATGATGCTATGCTGTTCTTTTCGCCTAGTATAATGTTCTTGTAACACATGTATAAATTTTTGTCTTTGGCTGTGATGTGATGCTGAATTGTCAGAAGATTTAATATTTGCATGCATGCTCTGACAGAGCCTTTTGTGAATGGATGAGATTTTTTGAAAACATTTTTCAAACTTTTTGTTTTTGTTTTGTACAGGTTTTTGTGCAAGTGTTTTGTGCTTAATTTCATAAACACAATCATGTTCTTTGAATTCTGATGATAAACATGATTGTGTCTATTAAGACCTGGAACACACCTGTAACCTCATGGTGGAACAGGAGTTCCCTCCTGCATTTACCCTTTGTTACACATCCTTACATATGCTGCAAAACTTTGGCAAACTGCAGGCAATGCAGACAGTAGCCTGTTTTGCTACTGTTGCACTACATTGTCATGACATACATAAACGCTTCCATAAATCCATTTCATTTGAAAACTACACAGAAACCTTTGTCGTCACTACAATGCATCAACCATCAGCATAAACCTTAAGACTAAAGTAGTTGTAGGATTGCTTACCAAATACTGTGTAGAGATCAGTGGTTTAGTCTTCTCCCTTGATAATGCAGGAGGATGAACAGCCTTGTCCCAACTGTATATATGTATGTAAACTATGTGTCTATATGTCTGTTTTCACTATAACCTGTGTCTATACAAGTAAATAAAATGGTTTATTAACTTATTTATGGCTTATGTTCTGGTTATTTAGTTGATAGTTCACCCTTGTTTAACCTTATAATGTCAAGTGTATCACATTTAATACATAGGATTTTGAGACCTCTACATCATCAGTTTTTGTACCTGTAATAGCTAAATAAATTGCACAAAAATCTGGGATGTAGCAAATATACAAATAAAAATGTATATGTGCAAATTGATATTTTTATTATTATTTGCTAAAATGTTCAATTAGAGATACAAAAAAAAATCTGTAAATTATTTCATGACTTGGTCTTTAACATCACTGAATTTAGGTTTTTATACACAAATTTGAGCCATCACACTGGACTTCCTTCAGAAGTCAGAAATTCTGTTCATGAATGCAAGTAAATAACTCATTTGGCATCTTATTTTGCAGAAATAAGTCAAACATGAAAGATAAGCATGGTGCATTGATAAAGACTGCATTTAAGTGCTCTGTGGCAGCCCTAGCCAATGAATGATTATAGCTTACATTTCATTCCAAAGTCACACATAATATACAATTCACAATATTTTTGACATTCACAGGATAACTTAAGCTCAGAGAATCATGCCTATCATCTGGGTGGCTTTTCAAGTGTTTAGCATGAATTGACTTGTCATTAAATATGACTGATGTTTGAAGTGTTTAAATAGATTGGTGGGTATTCTGGTGTAAGCGAAGAAGCAACAGGTTCCTCTGTGTATTGTCTCTGTTGCTGATAGGTTCTATTTCCTTCCGAGCCATGTTTCTTATTGTCCTGTGGAGATCTCCATGTAAGCTCAACGGCCTCCTCTGGCGGTAGTGTTACAGGAATAGGAGGTGGGGCAACTTGTGGTGGTTTGATGTCATGGCTCCTGTAGCGGGGAAGATCATACAACAAATCTGTAGCGCTTCTCTCATCTGGTGAAGCAGAGGGATTTGATCGTGGCAGGGGTTTGATGTCCGGCTTAGACTTGCGATAATAAACACCGGTGTCAACTTGTGGACTGTGGTCATCAGCTGTAGGAGATACATCCCCACTGAAATCCACCGTGTCCCACATTTTTCTCTCTGATGACATGACTTTTAGGGCACTGAGGCCTTTTCTTTCCTTCCTATCAGAGAGCAAAAGAGGGCTTGGATTCTCATATGTGGTGTTGGGTGAGTTGTAAAGCTTGTGAAGAGCACCTCCGGATGCAGAAGAAGTACTATTGGCACTAATGGATGAGAATTTATGTGTTGGCTTTACATCTGATTTCCAACTGTCTTGCTTTATTTTAACATCACTTTTGATGCTGGAGGAGTACAGCTGGGGAAGTTCTGGTTTTGCAGGTGAAGCCTGCTGTGGAGGTGTTGTATTCAGACCCGTCTTTAGTGCTGGTGTAGAGATTTTAGACAGATGATGACCAACACCAGTCCATTTTATCTCTGGTGGTATATCTGCATTTGCATTGTGTCTTTGTTCAGTCCTTCTCCTTACTTCATCCTCAAAGCTCAGACTGGATACTCTCTTTGGAGCAAGTGATGAATTTCTGTCCTTTTCACTTTCCTGTGCAACATTTACCATTTGGCTCTTGCCACTGGGGGAGAAAGAACTATCAGATAGCGATGAAGTTTTCATAATTGAACGCTTATAGATTGGAAAGTCAACATATGTCATGCCTGGAGGAGCTCTATTTTCTGTTATCTCATCTTCACTGCTGCTGCTGCTGGAAGAGGAATCAGAGGGTTGCACATGTTTGTTTTCAGGATTCAGAGAAGAGGAGTCTGGCGGAGGTGATGAGGGCAATTTGGATGGTTGAGAACTCGGTGATGTGATTTCAAGGCGCTTTCTAAATCGGGAGACACCAAGATTCATTGTGGCCCATCGTGACTGGAGCTCAGAGTTTATCTCTGGTGTTGTGCTGACGTTGTCTTTTCGATCTTCCGTCAACTCATCTGTTATAACAACATACTTTTCTAATGTAATATTGGAATCTTTCTTTGAAATGTGAGGAAGCTTAAACAGTGTAGAAGTTGGAGAGCCTAAGTTGCTAGCCATTTTAACAGGCTGGTCTGTAGTCCGACCTTCACTCTCATCACTGCTGGAGGAGGACTTAGGTGAACGTGTCTTGATATCCAGATGCTTTTTGACATAGGGGATAGTGCTGAGGCCTATTTCAGGCAATCTTGAATCTGGTTTAATAGCAACTGGGCGGTTTCTTAAATCTTCCATCCCATCCTCATCTGAGCTGCTTGATGTGTAAATAGGATCATGACGTTTGGTTTGAGATTGTTGAAACCCCGTTGAGCCCAAACTCTGCTTCTTTGTCTGGCCCCTTTTTTCATCTTCACTGTCACTACTTGAAGATGACTCAGAAGCTGATAATACTGATTTGATGTCTGCAGTATGATGAACATATTGGGTTTTTGTGTAAAGCAAATCAGTTTCTTGCCTTGGACTATATATATCTGCTTGTTCCTGTTTCTTTATGTGTTTCGTTGTTTCCTCCTCACTGTCACTGCTAGAAGATGTGTCCGAATCTACAGATGGTGCTTTGATATCTAGGCGCCGCTTAACTCGAGGAA